ATGACACATATTGTGGTGCAACCAAGCAATGAGCCCAGTTTAATTATGAAAGATGATTTATACTTAACTAATATAATGAGTATCAAACAAGTTTTCACACTAATACAATAAGCTACAGGTAAATCTGACACATCTCACATCAACATGCTTTTATCATCTTTTTAAGTTTAATTAATGTGCTGGCTAGATTTACTTATTGTAGTCATTATGTCAACAAAGTTTAGCTTAATTAAATCATGGCCGCGAATTAAGAACATCGTAATAATCAATAAAATTAGCAATCGGGAATTCATTATTATTTCTTAGCAGTTCTCACGTTGGCTACGTAAACTTTGCATTGTTTTAAGGTTATAAAATAAAACTTAAAGGGGTCATATGATGCGATTTCAATTTTTCCTTTCTCTTTGAAGTGTTACAAGCTCTTGGTGCATAAAGAAGATCTGTAAAGTTGCAAAGACTAAAGTCTCAAATCCAAAGAAAACGGGTGGATCCTACCTAAAACGGCTCGTTCTAACACGCCCCGACATATCTACCTCACTATATGGGAAGATTTGCATAACGCCGCCCAAATGTTCACGCAAAGAAAGAAGGCATAACTTTTATTCTCGCTGTAGTATTGTTGCCGCTGCCGCCATGTCGTGAAGACGCTGTGTGCTTCGTTGTGAAAGCGAAACTACTTTGTTTGGTCTTCCAAAAGAGGAAGATATCCACTTCGTCATGCCTAGAGCTGATCTGTGCTGGTCGCTGAGGAAATACATCAACTTAGTGCTGTGGATCGCTGGATCGGCTTTCACCGTGGAAGAAGTGGTGGAGTCCAGCCCGGGGTCGTCACATGTGGTTGCTGCTCCTTTGTCGAATCCGCCGGGCGCGCCGTTCTCAACCCCGCCGCCTCTGCTCACTCTAACCCGGCCTCAGCTCACGCTAAGAACATCGTAATAATCGTAATAATCGACACGCTAGGCCACCGTGTTTTTCGTTGTGAAAGCGAAACTACTTTGTTTGGTCTTCCAAAAGAGGACACGACTACAAATCAGTGGTTAAGTTGTATTTACAACACTGTTCCAGAACAGTTTAACCCAAATATCCAGATGTGTGCAGCACTTTTTATGGAGGACTGTTTACTGATCCTGGTAGAGTAGACTACAATGCCGGCAGTTCTGACTCTGTAAGTAAGTTTTCATTTAAAGGATTTGCCACTGATGATTCAAACACGAGTTTTGGGCAGTGTAGAGTAGCACTTGTAGTTTGTCATTTCTCTGATAACAAATGCAGACAGGGTTTTATGTTTACGCGGCGCGATGCAACGCAACGCGTAAAAAGACAGTATAAGTCATTATAATCAGTAATCATGTCCCCACTGGATGCAACAAATGCCTCGTTTGTAATGGGTTTTAATGTTTTTGTCTCGTCGCTCCGGCCGGACACGGCATCAACAGTATGGTGAGGGGCGTAACATTTCCATCACACGCTTGAGGTATTCAGCCAATCACAACGCACTGGATAGCTGGCCAATCACAGCACACCTCGCTTTTCAGCCGGTGAGCTTTGTAAAAATCGACGTGTTTTAAAAAGGCGGGGCATAGAGGAGAAACAATAATGTACAGTATGTGGAAAATAATGTGTTTTTTTTACTTTAAGTCGCATAAACACATTTCATTACACCAAATACACAAAATAATGTTCTTTTTAGCAGCATCATATGACCCCTTTAATTGAAAATCGGTAAAGTTACTCACTCTGATTGCTGTCCATGTCGTCCTTCTTTAGTGATCCAATTCGGTAGGTGGCGCTGTTGCAAAAGAATAGGGTCCTAGAACTGCGGTCCTAGAACTGCAGCCTCCAGTTGTGCAGGAACATACTATTGCATTGTGTCGACTCCGGAGCAGGGGAAGACAATAATGTCTGATTAAGCGATTGAGATGTTTTGTTGTTTGGATGTAATAATGAATATAAGCAGTCGTCATTTACTTCCGACATCTGAGCCGCTGAAGACGAAGATTAACGTTACTTTAGTTTCGAAGGGAATGCGCCGATCCCGATCTGCCTAAATGCGTCTATGTTCGCGCAAATCATTTGTGATCCAGCTTCATCAACAGAAGAAGTGAGTATAAGGGTTTTTTATGAATCTTTGCAAATCGCCTTTCTTAATAACGTGCTAGTTAGCCAGCTTCGTGGCTGAAGTTTACAGTCTGCTCGTCACCCCACGGAAGAGAGGGGTGGGGTCAGCAGAGCTCATTAGCATTTAAAGCAACATGGACTATAATGGCTTGCTGAAAACAGAGCTGATTTTGACAGGTTTAAAAAAAAAAGTGTTTTTTACACTACCATTGAGAAATTTTAACCAAAGTATGTTATAGACTTTTCATTAAAACTCTAAAGAATCATATCAACTTGTGGAAAATTGGCATCCGATGACCCCTTTAAATCCAGATCCCCCGCCTCTCTCTGTCGCTCTGTGTACCTGGCTTTACCACTACACTCGCTATCTTCAGAGCGTGTGTCCCCCCTTCCTCCTTTTACATAATGGTATGATCCTAGTCTATCCTCCCATGTGATTAGCCGCATGTGTATTTTTTTTTTTTGTAATGAAAAAATGCATAAAAAAGACTTTTATGAAAACACTGAATAAAAAATTGCTTACCAACACACAAACCATTCACAATTGCTAAATTGGGCTAAAATAGAAGGCTCCGGCTGAAGATTTGGCTCTCCCCGATGGGAGTCGGCTCTTCGCGGTCACTACAAAGAATCGGCTCTTAGAGCCGGCTTGTTCGCGAACGACACATCACTAGGATGAATCTAATGTTTTGAGGAGTATGTGTGGCAGTCAGTCACTGCACCGGTGTGGATATTCACTGTACTTCAGAATCACAGCCTACGTCTTGGAATATATGACCCAAATAAGAATTTTCACTAGATATTATCATCTGAACAAGTAGCAAGTCTGCCACATTTGTTCTGACCAATTGAGGAAAAAAGCATTACAATAAATCGTGCTACCAATGGTAATTTAATCTAAATTAGCTCATTTCACATCAAACCGTGCAAATTATTATTATTGTTATACCTTATTCTCAAATTGTTAGTTAACAACATCAGCATTACGTGACTATGTGAATATAGTGTGTATAAGCAAGTAGATTTCAATTTCTGTACAGTCTAATCTCGTAATTGTCATACCACTCAAATTTCATATTAAGAAATTCTTTTAACCCAAAAAGCTAATTATTCTTCCTTCGAACTGGTTGTCTTTAAAATACAAATCTTGTGTAATCTCAGGCTACCTGTAATCAGAAGCACATTTAAAACTGGAATATAATTTAATTTCATTCACATGTGTTCCATAAACATAATCCTTTCTGGATTACAATCCGCCTTCAAAATGATACATTTAATTATTCTGGCTGCCGTGAGAAAAGGCTATAAACGATCCGCCACCTGCAGGATCCTCACATGCGATAGCCTACTAGCCGGGACAGCTTCTTTATGTTTACAGACGTGACGTAATGATGCAGTGCCATGCTCGAATTTCTCGCAAAAACCTACCTGTGCCACTCGAATTAGAAAACATTATTATAAGATAACCGTTGTGAAACAGGCTAAAGTAAGGCGATAGTTTTGAACACTGGCTGGTTATGCACTTGCTCAAATATTGATTTTGGATAATTTTTAACCAAAAAAAGTTATGGACTGCAGAGTTAAAGGGGTGGTTGATTGCATCTTTTAAAATTGTCAGTTTGATGCCTACAAAAATGGCTCGTAGGGACTAAGAGTTACTTCCCGGGTTTGTGACGTCAACCTGATAAACCCCGCCCCCGGGAACACACAACGAAGGGGGCGAGGCCATGCTGTGCTGCTTTAGAGAAGAGGAAGAGAAAACTAGAGGTGCACGTAAAAATCTATTCATATATGAAACACTATTCTGTCTTCTAACGATTCTAATGGATTCACAAGTTCTGTATTAAACATTGAATCAGCTTTAAATAAAACCGTATATTAAAAGCTTACAGAAGCAGTAGCATTCACAAATAACAGCGTATCTAAAAGTATGAGACAACAACAAACAAACATAACCATTAAGAGCCGTGCTTGCACAGGTTCTGCGCGATCCTCTTCACTAATATCCTCTGCATCTGAATCGGGCTCAAATTGATAAGGAATATAGACGACGCCATTATTTACAATACAACCGGAGCACATGCCACTGAGGTGAAGGGCGGGACGTTTAGACACACCAGAGGTGGTTTAGCCAATCACAACACACTGGACTAGCTAACCAATCAGGATCCATTGTGTATTTCTGAGGAAGGGGCTTCATAAAAGCAGGAAATGATCAGCGTGTTGATCAGAAAAGGGATAGAGCGGTGAAGAATAACGGTGAATTATGTGGGAAAATAATGCGTTAGCATGTTTTGCTCAAACTTTCGCCATGGCATTAGAGCAGGTACACCGTTGTCGCTTGCGAAATCAAAATGACGGCGGCGTGGGAGGAAACTTACAGATTAAGGGGCGGTAATATTCTAATGAGATCCCTTTGCAACGTCACTAGGGGAGCGAAGCCAGATGTGCTCGTTTTTTCAGACGCTTGCAGAAAAAGGCTTACCAAAACAAAGTAACTGGGTTAATCTTTTTTACGTTTCCTTGGTTGGTAGATGCACCGGGGACCTGATTATAGCACTTAAAACCTGGAAAAGTCAGATTTTCGTGATATGTCACCTTTAAAAAACGAAGCATGAACACATGTTAGACTGCACCCCATAAACAATCAAGCCTAGAACAAAACCAGTCAACCACCCCTTTAAAAAGGAATTTTATTGCATTAGATAATTGATACATTTCAAGTGTCGCTTGCAAATATTTAGTGATGCCACTGTGTAGAGTACATGCTGACACCTTGTAACTTGCAAAGTCATGTCTTGTTCTTGAAGTTTGAGCGAATATCTGTGTGCATTTTGTATGCAAGTCAATGACCCAACAGTGTTTTTTTCCTTTCTGTTCAGGCTGAAGCAATGGCAGCCAGATGTGGAGTGGGCAGAGCAGTACTCTGGAGCTGTGATGTATCCCAGTGTCATCACTGAGAAATGGGCACCTCCACCTTGGAACGGTTGGTTTCGTTTTGACCTAGTGACTTCCATATTTACAGTTTGACCAACCACGATATCAAAAACATCTTCATCTTTTTCAGATAAGGACCCACCAGCAGAGAAAGAGGTTTCCAACCTCACTATCAACTTCGGGCCTCAGCACCCGGCGGCTCATGGAGTGCTGCGTCTGGTGATGGAGCTCAGCGGAGAGTCGGTGAAGAAATGTGACCCTCACATCGGCCTCCTGCACCGCGGCACTGAGAAACTGATTGAGTACAAGACTTATTTACAGGTACTTAAAAACTACAGACCCTAATGGATGACACTATATTTTGAAATGCTTACTATATAAATACATTTAACTTCAATAAATTGCACATACTCCTAAAAAGGTACTGAGGGCTGAGTATATAAACAATATAGCACAACCTTAAGTACCTTAATGCTTGGAATGAAAGAAACGATAACTACTTAATAACTAAAAATATTAAAAACAGTTTAAGTGCTGTGCGTTCACTTGAAAATATAGTCCCTTCTATGTAACATAGTTAATAGTTTGTATGGGTGCTGCACAGTGATATACACATTAACTGGTTATCAAGTGTTTTGTGTCATTGCTGCTATTATACTGTGAATTCATACATAGCTGAGAAGCTAAAATATCCTTTTCATACTGCATCTATTTTGTGTTTTGCTGGGCTTCATAGGATTGTGTGCTGTTAGACTGGTGCTTCCTTAATCGAATCGTTGCATAGTAGTGCAAAAATACCTTCTGATCTAATTTCAGTTCTGTAGCTCAAATAGTAGTGTATTTGAGCTATTGATCAAATGTATACCTTTAATGTGATATATGTCACTGTGGATAAGTGTTTGCAAATACATTAGGTTAAACTTAAATTTCAGAAATGTTGTGCTTCACATCACAAGCTCATGGCTGTCTGATGCAGGGTTTTATTATAAACTGTGCTGTTATATGAATCAATATGCTTTGTGCTGTTGTCTGCGATGAAGCATTATTTGCTGTAATGTTGTCTTGTGTGTTTGTGTTGCTGCAGGCACTTCCATACTTCGACAGGCTTGACTATGTGTCCATGATGTGTAATGAGCAAGCATATTCTCTAGCTGTAGAAAAGCTTCTTAACATCCAGGCTCCACCACGTGCACAGTGGATTAGAGGTGAGGAACAATAATTAAAATGCTTTCGATCTGGTTTACGCTCATCAATCTTAAATTAGAGTAAATGTGCTTTAAAAAATCCCCAAAATTGCATTGAAAGATGTTGCAATTACACAATTGAGATTGCAGGGATATTTTAATTTGAATGTATCTAATTGGCTTTACCAGCTGCATAAATGTATTACTGTATTTGACCTTTGCAGTTCTGTATGGAGAGATGACCCGTATCCTTAACCACATCATGGGCATCACCACCCACGCCCTTGACATTGGAGCCATGACCCCTTTCTTCTGGATGTTTGAGGAGAGAGAGAAGGTAACAACTTTCTATTGCACTGTCAAACAGAAAAACAAATAGAAGTTAAATATGCGTTTTGTTGGACATTAAATGTTTGTTGAAAATGCTACATGTAACACATAACAATGTAGACAACTATACAGATAAGTGAATGTATAGACTGTGCTTTTGTTTTACTTCACAATCTAAATAAGGGGTCGGGAACCTTTTTTTTCTTTTTCTTTTTCATTTGTGGTTAATGTATTTTCCCAAAAGAGGTGCAGCAAAAAATCTGAAAGTGTTTTTAATCACAATCATGATTTTTATGTAAAAAATCAAATATGTTCCCCTCCGAAATCGCAGCCCTATTATTGAATATTTGTGTGGAACCTAGTTACCATTGAATTAGTTGATATCTTGCAGATGTTTGAGTTCTATGAGAGAGTGTCTGGAGCCAGGATGCACGCTGCGTACGTCAGACCCGGTGGAGTTCATCAGGTACGCTTTGATGAAGCCAATCTTTCTAAATGAAAAGTATTTTCCTGGTTATGCTGAAATGTTATAACTTAGTTTAATGTCATCTCCTCATAACCATAACTTTTTTTTTTTGCGCAGGACTTGCCTCTTGGTCTCATGGACGACATCTATGAATGGTGCAAGAACTTCTCTATTCGCATTGATGAAGTTGAGGAGGTATGTAGACCAAAATGCAACCCGTTTCAGTCAAGAATAGTACTAGTTGATGTTAAAGGGGTCATATGATGCTTTTTTAAAGATCATTATTTTGTGTATTTGGTGTAACAGAATATGTTGACATGCTTTAATGTTCAAAAAACACATTATTTTTCAAATACTGTACATGATTGTAGGTCCTCTACGCCCCGCCTCTCTCAAACGCTTAGTTTTCTACAAAGTCCCTCCTTCCGACAAGCGCAGTCTGCTCTGATTGGCCAGCTGACCCAGTGCATTGTGATTGGCCGAACACCGCAAGCACTCGTCAGAAATGTAATGCCCCTTACCATAATCGCGAGCTTCATCTTTCAAAATAAATATAAAGACAGTAAATAATGTTGTTAGTTTTACCATCAGTTCAAGCCCAAAATGGGAACAAACACAGTAATGATGCAGTACACAAGCTGCGGTTAAGACAGCTGACTCTACTGTGATGTGACGCTGTCTCTCTCTCTCTCTCTCTCTCTCTCTCACACACACACACACACACAATGCGCAAAACTCCGTATTTGAACAGTCAATAGCAAATACTTAAACTAGTAACAAAACAGTAGCTGATTCAGAAGTGCCAGATTGTCATAGCAAAGTCAGAATTACCTCCTCTCCTAGGTTCACGAAACGGTCATCCATAAAATGCATTGCTGTTCTGTTGTAAGTAATCTTAAAGATTCCTAAATGCATCTACTTTCGGAAGGCCAAATCAAGTGCTTTTGCTTTCGCCTAGAAACACACAGCGTCTCCCTGACATGGCTGCTTCAACATTAACTGCGGTTACTGAAACCACGCCTTCTTTCTTTGCGTGCACATTTGTGCGCATTATGCAAATATTCCCACATAGTGACCTAGATATGTGGGGGCGTGTTAGAATGAGCCATTTTAGGGGGGTGTGGCAGAGTCTTAACTTTGATAAAGAATATCTCTTTGGTTTTGAGACTTTAATCTTTGCAACTTCAGGGATCTTATCTATTCACGAACAGCTTGTAACACTCCAAACAGAAAGGAAAACTTGAAATCGCATCATATGACCCCTTTAAGTATAAAGTGGGTATAGAAAAGAATCACCCCCTTTAAAATAATCACGTTTTGTTGCTTTGCAGCCTGAAATGAAGACGGACACAGTTTTTGTTTTATCCAGCTGTATTTACTCAGTGCAACTTACAACATCCATAACCTTGCACATCTAGACTTTTCAATATTTGCCCACTCTTCTTTGCAGAACTGCTCAAGTTCAGTTCAATTTGATGGTGAATTTCAATGGGGTTTAAGTCTGGGCTCTGACTAGGCCATGCAAGGACATTCACCTTTTTCTCCTTCAAGCACTGTGTGCTCAGTTTTGCTGTGTGCTTTGGGTCATTGTCATATTGGAAGGTAAACCTTCTTCCCATTGACAACTGTCTTGCAGAGGACAGCAGATTTTCCTCAAGAATTTGACGGCATTTTTCCCCATCCATTTTTCCTTCTATCCTGACAAGTGCTCCAGTCCCTGCTGCAGAGAAACAGGATATTACCACCTCCATGCTTTACTGGAGGAATGCTGTTATTTGGATGCTGAGCTGTATTGGATTTCCACCAGACATATTGTTTGGTGTTGAGGGCAAATAATTCATATTCAATAATAGTTTTAGTCTCATCTGCCTCAGAATCTTCAAGGTGCGTTTAGGCAAAGCTCAGTCATGACTGCATGTGGCCTTTCTTGAGGAGTGGCTTTTTTTCTTGTAACTCTCCCATACAAGCCACATGTGAGGAGTATTTGTAATTTTGTTGTCACGTGCACACAATGACCACTCTTTGTCATAAATTCCTGCAGCTGCTTCAGAGTTGCTGTAGGCCTCTTGGTCGCCTCTCTGACCAGTTTCCTCCCGGTTCTTTCATCCAGTTTGGAGAGATGTCCTGATCCAGGGGGAGGGTCTGTGTTGTACAAAATACCTTCCACTTCTTAATAATAGACTTCACTGTGCGTCTAGGCATTGATAAAGCCTTTGACATTTTTCTTGTATCCATCTCCTGACTTGTGCCTGTCCACAACTTTATCCTGGAGATCTTTTGACAGTGCCTTGCCACCCATAGTTGATTGTTTGCTTCAGTTGCCAATGACTGAAATGCTCCATATATGTATATATATATATATATATATATTTAACAGGAAAACTCTTTTCATTCTGAGCTAATCAAAATGCCCACAGCTGATCACAGTTGAAAGTCAAATGACTTTGTGTGCCGTTGAGAAGGTGATTAGCTACACTTGACTGAGTTTACACCACTTCTTAATAATAGACTTCACTGTGCTTCTAGGTATTGATAAAGCCTTTGACACTTTTTTTGTATCCATCTCCTGACTTGTGCCTGTCCACAACTTTATCCTGGAGATCTTTTGACAGTGCCTTGCCACCCATAGTTGATTGTTTGCTTCAGTTGCCAATGACTGAAATGCTCCATATATGTATATATATATATATATATATATTTAACAGGAAAACTCTTTTCATTCTGAGCTAATCAAAATGACCACAGCTGATCATATAGATGGATGTTTGTTTTTCAAAATGCATGCATTTTCAATTTGATTGGAATAAATGGAGTTTCTAAATGAATATGATGTTGTTTCAGATGCTGACCAACAATCGTATCTGGAGGAACAGAACTGTTGATATCGGTGTAGTTGGGGCAGAGGATGCACTCAATTATGGATTCAGGTAAAACATTGTATTATTATGAAGTGAATCTGATTGGTCAGAGCTGCAGCTCAAGTATCTCGCTCTCTCTCACCCAGAAGTTGCTATAGTAGATGAACTATTTGACAGTAAGCAATGGAGTAAAAGCATCTTTATGAGTAATTTATAAATCAAACCCAAACGGGACTTCTAACAGAAGTGAAGTCATTTGCAGTCTTTGTGTGGTGAGATTTAGTCATCATCACCGTAGCTTACCTAGTGAAATCACCCACAAGTGCAACACCGTAATTAAAAGAGATTTGAATAAGTTGACCAGAGTACTGAATGTTGATGTGTCAGATTGTCAATAATGTGTGTATTATTCCTCCTTCAGCGGAGTGATGCTCAGAGGTTCTGGTATTAAATGGGATCTGAGGAAGAGTCAACCATACGACAAATACGACGAGGTGGACTTTGACGTGGCCGTTGGAAGTAATGGCGACTGCTATGACAGGTGACCACACATGTTAATGTTTTAGACTGAGTTAAGAGCTTCAGGAAGCTCAGAATGACAGGAAATTGAAATGCGACCACAGGCTATGAATTGGTCTTAGTCTTTACTAAGCTTTCTCACCTCATATGCTGATAGTATCACATGTGAAATGTAGTGATGTGTGCGCTTAAAGATAAACTTTGTTGTGAGGACTTGAGAACCGTTTATTAATCTTAATATTAATAATACTAATAGACATTTTCTAATTAAAATCAAAAGTCTGTTCATATTATTTAATGGACCTGAGCTAACATGAAATACCAATAAACAGTTATATTTTTATTAACTAATGTTAACAAAGATTAATAAATATTGTAACAAATGTATTGCTCATTGTTAGTTAATGCATTAACTAGTTGTTAATAAAAATAACAATTGGTCCCTCTGTAAATTCTCTTTGCCACCGTGAAATCTTCTCAGTCCCTTAAAGTGTAGATACGGCCGGGAAGCAAGAAAACACACATTCAAATGTATTCTCAATACTTCAATTTATTCATAGGTATAAAGATATTATATAGGCATATGTCGAGGGGAGTTTCACCCTCTTAACCAATGAGGATATGAATGACATACACATATAGGATCTTCGGCCAAGAACATGTTTATATAAAATGGCCACATGTACAGAAAAACATGGACATATTAGGAATAGACTTTTGCGAAGGATGAGGCACTCTCTTCAGAGTTCCTCACGAACTCCTTTACCCTTTTATTACCTTTATTCATCTCCTTATTTGGGCATTTAAACCAAGAAAAACTAATGTATACATGTGCGCATGCATACCTCGAATATGAGTAAGAGATATTTAAAACATAATACAAGAGAGAGAGCGAGAAACAGAGAGAGGAGGGGGGATTCAGAGAGAGAATGCTGTATAGGGAACGAGTGAGAGAAGGAGAGAAGAAAAGGAGGGGTGAGGCATATCTGGAACAATTTCTTAAAAAAAACAGAGAGTGTTTTCTAACACTAATGTTAACTAATGGGACCTTATTGTAAAGTGTTACCACAAATATTGCCATGCTTCTTTTATATTGATATTATCAGTGACAAATATGAACTTTTATTTAGGTATCTGTGCCGAGTGGAGGAAATGAGACAGTCGCTGCGCATCATGCTTCAGTGTCTCAACAAAATGCCTGCTGGAGAGATCAAGGTAGATGATGCTAAAATAGCCCCACCCAAGAGATCGGAGATGAAGGTAAGATATACTTGCGTATGTATCTTGCATTCAAATGGCAAAAAAGCAGAATAGAAAAAGTTGTTGGGTTCTTTTAAGAGTCAAATAATGATTTTGACATGCTTGATAAGCTTATTTAAAGGTGCAGGGTGTCATTTCTGGTTTTTCAAACACTCCTCTCATAGTCAAATACATATTGTTGCCCCAAACTCACGCCATTGGTTGGGCCAGTATTGCATGGTTCAGATGCTCACACATTTTGAAGGACCACAATGTTTTCGAATGGCTTAATTATAATTGTATGTGAAAAGTTATGAGAAATTGTAGAAATTATAGAACTTCAAGAATAAAGGTTTCAAATGTATTCATGTTTGTGTGCTTTAATGTTGGCTAACTTCCCTCTCATCCCATGACTAGTTTTGTTTTCTTTCAGACGTCAATGGAATCTCTCATTCATCACTTTAAGCTGTACACTGAGGGCTACCAGGTTCCTCCAGGAGCCACATATACCGCTGTAGAGGCACCAAAGGTGAGTGTAATGCACATGAGCATGTGTTGACCAACAATTACATGCACACCATTTCTGTTCTCAATAAAAAAATGGCCTCATTGGCAGTTTTCAGTGGTTTTTGGTCATCTTCTCATCCAGCATGGTGAGGTTTTTGGTGAATTTGTAACTGTGCACATGTGGGGAATGTGGGTTTCTAAAGTTGTTGTCTTTGTGGTGCTGTTTTTATTCAGCAATGCTGCATCACCTGAATCTACAGCATGACCAATGTCTGATTTCAGAAATAATGACTCTTACAATCTGGTTATTTTCAATGAATCAAAACCATACAGTGCAACCAGTGTATTTTACTACAGTTTTGTTAAACTTCTACTGAAATCTGAACTGAACTCATAATTTGGACTGATCTGGGGGGTTTTTTTTTTTCAAAAAATTTTCATTTAACTGCTAAAATAATGAACGAATAGAACTATTAAGCACAGGGTTTCCGCGGGTCTTAAAAAATGTCTTTCAAAAGTCTTAAATTTAGTTATCAAATTTAAGACCTTAAAAAGCCTTAAATTGGGCAAGAAAGTCTTAAAGGGGTGGTTCATTGCGATTTCACTTTTTTAATTTTAGTTAGTGTGTAATGTTGCTGTTTGAGCATAAACAATATTTGCAAAGTTACGAAGCTGAAAGTTCAATGCAAACGGAGATGTCGTCTTTTTAAATTCTGGCAGTTTAATGCCTACAAAAATGGCTGGTAGGAACTACAAGAAGTTACTTCCCGGGTTTGTGACATCCCAAACCCAGATAAACCCCGCCCCCGGGAAAAGGCAGCAAAGGGGGGCGAGGCCATGCTGCCCTACTTTAGAGAAGAGAAAGAGAAAACTAGAGGTGCATGTAAAAATCGAATCATATATGAATCGCGATTCTGTCTTCTAACGATTCTAATGAATTCACAGGTTTCAAAATGAATGTTCAAAAGCAGCAGTTCTTAATACTGTTCCTCGCGTTGCCCCTGCTCTGCACACGCTCTGCATCTCTCTCTCTCTCTCTCTCTCATTCAGCTCAGCTCCGACAATGAACTGTTCCATGTATACACTTATTTTCACATAGCTATGAGAAGCAATAAACATGCGGTTGCTGTACTGTATTAAAGCTTTAATCAGGATAAAACCGTATATTAAAAGCTAACATAAGCAGTAGCATTTACAACAGAGTATCTAAAAATATGAGACAACAACAAACAAAAAACATAGGCCTACCATTAAAAGCTGTGCTTGCACTGGTTCTGCACGATCCTCTTCAATAATATCCTCTGCTTCTCAATCGGGCTTAAACTGATAAGCGATATTAACGATGCCGTTTTTTACAATACAACCGGAACACATGCTGCTGAGGTGAGGGGCGGGACGTTTAGACTCACGCTAGAGGCGGTTTAGCCAATCACAACACACTGGGCATTAACACATGTTAGACTGCACCCCATAAACACAATCGAGCCTAGAAAAAACCCCAGTGAACCACAGCTTTAATTATGATTTTAAGAGGTCTTAAATTTGGGGACGGAAAAACCAGAATTGCGATATGGCTGAATGTGACTATTAAACTACAAATGGCTATGATTTCATTAAATAAATACAAGCGCTGCATGTTCAAAGTCTGGTGCTGCGCTGCTTAGTGTTCTGCTGTTACCGGGGAAACAGTTATATTTCTACCAAACGCTCCACCTGCTGTCAGAGAACAAATGAGCATTTTCAATAAAACCGTTGTTTTGTTCAGTTCAGACAAATGCAAAAATCAACCCATGATTTTACCCTGCAAACACGCAGAGCTTTAAATGTGAACTGGTGGATCGATAAGAAGACAATGCATTATAAAAATCTAAACAGAATAGGGGTGTGCGATATGTATAGTCTGCGATAATATCGTAATTGTTGTTTTAACGATGTGCAATTTGATATTATCGAGTATATCCCGAAAAGCAAACAAAACACCTACAGATTGCGTGCATGCATTGCATGGTGAAGTCTAGCAAGTTAGACTAGTGCACGTGCGCATTTATAGTGTGTTCTTTCACTGCATGAATCAGTCTATTAAAATGCATTTAGAATTACATAATTCAAGATATGAGCTCAAAGTCAGCATGATTACAAATGATATTGATTTTATACAACAGTTCCATAAACAAGAAGTTAATATTAAGAGACTTACGTTTTAGACACCATATTTCCTGTTTTGGCTCTATTTCTCCAACAAAAATCATTCCAAACACAGCCACAGTGCTGTTTTGCGTGTCTGAACAACACGACAGTGTTTTGTTCCTGAATGAATTCAACCGTTTAAATGATTTAATTCAATCGCAATGACTCACTTAATAGTGATTTGCTGCCACCTACTGGCGGTTTTAATTTCACATTGAAGATACCTTTTCATTTTTAAAATAATTTCAAACATCGGTTTTCAATGTTTTATGTTTAAAATATCAAAACGTTATTTATGCATTTGGAACTGCAGGTTAAAGTATTCCATGTCCCTCAGAGCTGCATTAAACTGTGTGTAAATACATCTAAATGACACTTCTAATGCACCTTCTGTGTTTCCACTGCATTGCAAAGATACATTTTGTTGATACTGATTTAATTTGTTTGGTAACAGCCCAAATGCAAGAATTTGACCCAAAAGATGGTGCACACTTTTAGAAAAAATGGCTTAAAGATAAAAATGCCCATAAAACTTGTTGGAAATAATTAATTTATATCACTGCTGTGAACTGACCACACAGAATATGAAGAATATCAAAAAATTCAGGAGTCAGCTGTATAAGATATCAGCACAATAACACACTCAGCAAAATATTGTCTAATTATCGTTATTGGTAAAATCCCAGAAAATTATCGAGATATTATTTTTTGTTAATATCGCACACCCCTAATTTGTTATTTAATTGATATAATAATTTATTGATAATAATTGTTTAAATTAATATAGTAGTTAATACTTTTGACTCATCTATTTTCTTAAAAATGGTTTAAAGGCTGAAATGTAAAGTTTATCATTTTATAAAACTTTGTTTTTGTGAAAACTTGTATCTAAACCAAGTTATGCTTTTTACAGTAATTTTACAATTTAATATGGTACTATAGACATTGCCCTACCCCGCTCATATGGTATTAATTTTAGTTGTGGAGGTCTTAAAAAGGTCTTAAATTTGAGCTTAAAAATCATGCAGAAACCCTGTAAGGAACTGGTTTTAAGAGGAATCAGAACACGTGTTATATTATATTCCCATTTCTACTTCAAACTCAGCTGTGTTGTGCTGCAGGGTGAGTTTGGTGTGTACCTGGTATCTGACGGTTCCAGCAGACCTTACCGCTGCAAGATCAAGGCGCCTGGCTTTGCCCACTTGGTAATTAATTCATTTTACTATTATGATTTAGATCAATGTTGAAAACAGTTGTGCTGCATAATATTTTTGTGGAAACCACGATACATTTTTTTTCAGGATTCTTAGATTAATGCACAATGCAAACAAAAAAAACAAAAGCATTTATTTTAAATAATTTTTTGAACATTATAAATAGCATGAGTGTCATTCTTGATCGTTTTAATGCTAAATAAAAGTATCCATTTCTTTTTAAAAAAGAACTACAACTTTTGAACGGTAGTGTATGTAGAATTTGTGCTGCATAATATTTTTGTGGAAACCACGATACATTTTTTTTCAGGATTCTTAGATTAATGCACAATACAAACAAAAAAAACAAAAGCATTTATTTTAAATAATTTTTTGAACATTATAAATAGCATGAGTGTCATTCTTGATCGTTTTAATGCTAAATAAAAGTATCCATTTCTTTTTAAAAAAGAACTACAACTTTTGAACGGTAGTGTATGTAGAACGGCTGCAAATACGGCAGGCTTTATCTTTGACCTCTTCCTATTTGTGTTGTGGTGTTGCTCAATGATGTGGTCTGTTTTGTCCTGTTTTTAGGCTGGTTTAGATCAAATGTCTAAAGGACACATGCTTGCTGACGTGGTGGCAATCATCGGTAAGTTTCTCTCTCATTGATACACATCTCAGTTCGGTCTGTTTTGTAGATTTGCATATAACAGCAATGAACTGCACATTTGTTTGAAGTATTATATTTAAATAAGAGGCCAGTAGCTCTATTATATCATAAAATCTTCTCTGTTTTCAATAATTCCCTGTTCTTCTAACTTGTACTGTTCTAAACAATGAATGAAGCTTAGTATTGTTAAGCAGCAAAGCAGCAAAATGTGATTATTTTAAAGGGGGTGATTCTTTTCTAT